TTCAAATATGGCGTAAAACACCATGGGGAGAAGCTCTCTTTGATCCATGGATATCCTATCGGGAAACCGCAACGCCATGGAACTACTGACTTTAGCGCACTGAATAGTAAAATGCAAAATATTCTTCTTTGTCCAAAACTCTAAAAGCCTGTGTTGCTTGCATAAAACATAAATCGTGGGTTTTTGAAAACGCGCGAAGCGATCACTTCGAAAAACAAGTGATGGAGTGTTGTTTTCTAGTTCCTTTCTTTTGATCACTTAGGATACACTTAGCATTCAAACTATTCATCATTCCATCTCACCATTTTGATGCTCCAAACACAATTGAACACAAATAAATTGTACTTGTGTTTAAACATTCTCAAAGTTAACAACGAAAAGCTAGTAAACATCAGAAAGATGGGTGTCAACATAGAAAGATGTATTGATGTACCAAAGCGGTACTATACCAATGAACTTGCCTACAAACAAGTGTGAATCTCATTCACATAGAACAAAAGGCAGATGGGCAACTTCTTTTCCACATTGATTTGATTCATTAGTGGACATAAGATGACACCAAAACAGACAAAACAAATACATATATGATGATTATAAAAATTAACACTCTCAAAAGAAGAAAAATAAAATTTTGTGTTAATTGTGGTGCATAAACCGATTTCGCCATAGCCCTTTCTTTCTGGAATATGTATACATGTTCATTGTATGAAAGGAGTATAAGCATGTTTACCCCACTTCGTGGCCTCATGGGTATACCAGGATTTGAGCTTGTGACGATTAGGTTGAAAGCCCAATGCTCTACCAACTAAGCTATACACCCAGAATCCAGATAGGCTTAGGAGGATTTGAACCTACAATATCGCCGTTATGAGCGGTGCGTTAGAACCAATTAAACTAAAAACCCAAGAACTTGTTCAGTGAAATTTCCGCTACAACATGGAAATATACACCGTCATGATTTTTGTCCCTTGTGCAATTCCTCAGTAGATTACAGGGGAAAAAAAAAAAAAAAAAAACACCCCTAGACATCTCAGACAAGGCACACCTAGAATACAAGGTACACACTCTGTATTCGAGGGTTTCTTGAACTTTCTTCTATTCAAAAGTCTAACAGCAATTTCTCAGAACCCATTTTTTTGGAGGTAACTTGAAAACAATGTACGCTTGGATTAAGACGGAAGTTCCGGCCCCTCATTCACTACCTCACTCCTCCTCCCTCCCTCTTCTGCATATCACACCCCTCCCACACCCTACCCTCCTCCGCTTCCTCCCATCGACAACCTGTTTTACCCCCTCTTCCTCTCCGGAGGAGGAGAGCAAAACATCAGAGTGGGAGTTAGCTTGCTGAACGGTGGAAGTTGTTAAAGAGGCAACGCCTCTCCTCGTCAACAAGTGGATTTAACACATTGCTCGTATGGGATCAGGAGAACTTAATCCACCTTTGTCATCCTATTGGAACATTTCCGGAAAAAGAACCTGGTACATGCAAAGTTGTATTTCGGGGTCAAAGTTGAAGACAAATGGGATTAGCTTGCCGAAATATTTTGACCGCTTTACCTCTCCCACCAATCTTTCTCAATTTTTTTTTGACTGCTTGCCGAAAACCTACCTCGTATTTTGGGATCGAAGTTGAAGGCACGTTCGACAAACGGATCAGCAAAAGAACCGTGAGAAAGATCGGTAGGAGAGGGCAAGCAGTCGAAAGTATTTCGAGCGCTTGAAAGTGTATGCTGATAACGAGGATGCGTTATGTGGGTGACGACGAACAGGAGTGTCGGGAATGCTCTTTACAACGCTAGAGCGGTGATGAGCATGGAGGAGTATGTAGGTTGTAACTGTTGTTGGGCTGCATTTGGTGCAGAGATCATCTGATGGAATAAGGAGAAGTTAATCTGCCTCTATGAGTCTTGAAGCTATTGGATAGATTTCGGAAAACAGACCACATATACACTACAGTACCTCATCACTGGGGGCTATATCTGTAGGAGGTTGGAGATGAAGCTTTGAAGTTGGCTGGTTACAACAGCCACGTTCGCTGAAAGGATCAGCACCGGAGGTGTAAGAAATATTGCGGGAAGACTATTTTGAGTGGTTCGAAAGATACGCTGATGAGGCGGCGGCGAACGAGCTTTGCCTTTTCAGCTGAAGAACTGGAGTGCTGGGGGTTGGGGATGCTCTTCACTACGTTAGAGCAGTGTTGAGAAAGGAGTACAAGTGTTGTAGCGGTTGTTGTGCTGAACTTGGTGCAGAATTCCAAGGGTTGAATTGCACGTATGTTTTATCGTACTTACAAAGCCAGTTTGTATCAACATGGACAAAGAATGTGAGAAACATTCCCACCTGTCTCACAAAGGGCCCATTCCGGGGCTCGAATGGCATGTCCTCTTTTCCTTCAAACGGACCGTTACCTTGTTTTTGATTGTGTTACGGGTGGCGGGTTCTTCCTCTTTTTCCTTTGGCCATTCTCCCTGTCTAGCACAGCCTCTGTGTTTAGAAATTTGAATCACTGCCATGTCCAAAAGAATCGTGTCTTCCCATTGGTTCAACACACTCTTCCGATCGGTTCTTCCGTCCCTCCGAGTCTCCATGTCAACGACTTGAAACCAACAGTACTTCACCAATTCATCGGCCACAGGGCCAATGCGCCAAAAGAAACTTGTGCTGGTTCGGGTGCTTTGAGGTGCAGCGTGTTTCCTGCATCGGAGAAAAATGCCTCCGGAGTACTTTGATGAAGGAACCGGAGTGAAGTGTCTCGCAGGACTGGCCAAAAGAAAGTTGTGCTGATTCAGGTTCTTTGGGTTGCAGCATGTTTCCAGCATCGGAGAAAAATCTGCCTCTGGAGTACTTCGACATCATTAGCATCCACCACCCGTATTTTTCTGACACTCTTTTCCCCAAGGCATATTTCTGACGCACACCGAACTTCGTTGAATCGGCGTGGCGTGGGTGTGACTTTTTCTTTTTCGCTAGCATGCACAACCTTCTCGATTTCGTAGGTCACCAAGCCCTGGAAATTGCGGCACATGCACATCCACGTCCGAGGTAGTTGCCTGGGAAACTTAGCGGTGGTGGTCAAATAAGGCGATAGACATTTTATCACAGCAATGGAAACCTCCAAGAGTTTTTGAATTTATATTCTTTTGTGGCGAATCCGTTGAGGCGGATTTTGGTCTCACAGAAATTTGGCAGCTGACATCTTTGCCTTCTCCAGGGGGGGGAGGGGGGCGGTGGGGGAGGGATAGTGTGAAATGGCAGGCCTCAGACGCAGGAGCCATCGATTAGCAGTGCATTTTTCAAGCAGCAGTCCAAATCGTTTTGCTCCAACCCTGTTGCGCACACCTCAGGTCATTCCTTACAAATCCTTGGTACCCTGGTGTTTTCCAGATTTGTACCGGGGCCATTTTGGCACCAAAATTCTTTTCCAGTCGTCAAACTGTTTGGCGCAAACACTTCACATCGCGGCTCGCCAGCAGAGTGGGCCTCCAACCCTGACCACCAAGCCTCGGGGCTTAAACCACCAGTACTTGCCCCAGCTATCTGCCGCGGCAAAAAAAAGAGTAGAAACGTTTCTACTCAGATGAATTTGGGCTCTCCTGTAGTAGCCCGTACGTTTCCTAAAATCGTGGCGCGTTGACGTGCACGACTCGAGGAAGTACTGGTGGTTTAAGGTGACGGCCAGCAGCACACTTCATTCATTTTTTCCTTCCATCTTTTACGTCTGTTGAGTCTGTGGTCCAGTACAGCTTCTTCAGTCCAGCGAGTTGAATTCATCTGCGCGACTCCAGGCCTCTTCCGTGCATGACCTCTCCGCACGCCATGCCCCCCCTGTTAAACACACCCTCAATAATGAAATGAAGAACCTGAGTATAATACTATAATGTTTGTAGCTTTAGTACGCTGAAAATACAACTTAACTTTGTGAAGTTTGTGCTTTGCAAACGCAAGTGGACTGATGCACCAACGGGCCTAGCTCAATTGGCACACACATGAACTGTTGAAAGACAGACCCAGTTCGAGTCCAGATGCAATCATATATGCACAGAATAAAATAATTCTAAACTACCTGGGGACGGCCAGTTTAACAACGACATCTCACGGGCGTTGCCCTTTTAAATAAGGACTGATGCTCCACAGGAGAGAAGGGACCCAGAACAATTGATCCAAAATAAGAAAAGAGAGAGAACGAATGGAAACGATCAGAATTTCAAATTTTAGTAGAGGAGGCACACCGATTCTCTTTGTACCAAAGACGGGTACATCAAGCCGTTCTTCGAGACATTGATGCAAATTGAAGAAAATTGTGCTGGCAATGCTAGATGCGGCCAAGGAACGACGACACAAGCCATTTCATGCCCACCCTTACAAAATGGCATATGGAAGAAAGAGTGGGATAGTGCAAGAACATCATGGTGGAGTATATGAAACACCATACACCAAGACGCCAACCCATAGTTCTGTCCTCAGGAACTACCGAGGGTCAGAAAGGCACAAGTCCACATCCTCCTGTCCACATTGAAAAGCCCTGCAAAAGCAGGTGCCTGTTCGGGATTTCTGCCCGTCGAAGGGACATCCAAAAGCAACCGACCCTCGATGGGTCTGTGCACATTGATGGGACACATCAAAAACAGGTAAGCCTTTAGCAGATTAATTCACAGACTGTATGCAGTTGATCTGTAAGATTCATTCACAATAAGCGGCACTTTTTTTTTCCTGTCTTTTTTTCTTTTGTTATCACGAATTCAAGAAAGTATGTTCAATTCAGAGAAGGTAATTCAAAGATGATCACATTCACAGGACAAAAAAAAACAAAAAAACAAAAAAAGTTTGTAACACAGGCACACACTAAGTTTCAGGCCCGGGAATATATTCGCAAAACAGATCTGTCACATTGTCTGTTTAAAATATTTGCTTGGGTCGGACCATTTCCACTTACCTTTCCCTATAGACTTTGTCACTTCCTCGCCACATGGATCACCCACTCTGCACATATTCACTTATTGACTTGCTTGCACACTTCATTACTTTCTCTCGCTCAAAGTCCATGATCACTCATTCCACCGACTTGACACACCCAATTTTCGCACTCACTTCTCTTGCTCCCGGCCAAAGTCATTCATTCACTCCTATTATCCATTTGCCCTCTCTAGCTCTGACATACATGGAAGCATGCAGATGATTTTTGTTTGCCTTCTATTACGCTCCCTTTTGACATACATGCACACACACGCACAAACAACACGTGTGTGTGTGTGTGTGTGTGTGTGTGTGTGTGTGTGTGTGTGTGTGTGTGAGAGAGAGAGAGAGAGAGAGAGAGAGAGAGTGTGTGTGTGTGTGAGAGAGAGAGAGAGAGAGAGNGAGAGAGAGAGAGAGAGAGAGAGAGAGAGAGAGTGTGTGTGTGTGTGTGTGAGAGAGAGAGAGAGAGAGAGTGTGTGTGTGTGTGTGTGTGTGTGAGAGAGAGAGAGAGAGAGAGAGGGAGGTCACTGACAAGAGTTTGAAAACCAAGCCAGATGCTCAAATGATCTGGAAGTGGCGATTCCTCAGGATCAATGAATATGCTATGGTCAAAAACATAGGGTGAACAAAAAGACGAGCGCATGGAAAGCCCCTCCATGTTGGCGAATGCAGCCGCACTGCACATCATCACGGGCTAAGCTGAACCTGGAATATAGAAACAAGCAAACAAGGAAGCGAGGGGAGAGAAGTGTATGCGGCCAGCTGAAGGGCTATGCACTGGCCCTCTTTCACTCTCTTAACTCTACAGTCACAGCTCCACTTGCTTCCTTCTTGAACTGCAAGGGTACATGTGGGCCTGCCTCACCTTTCAAAGACACTCCTCCGTTATCGTCCCTCTGTTTACAGCACCAACTCCAGCTGTCGTTGTCACCTTTTCTTCAAGGAGTCGTGACTACCTACCAAAGAGATAGCTTGCTTCGCATTCTCCTCACCTAATATGAGAGTGCGCGCTCAAGGGTCATCAACTGACCAGCGCGTCGAACACAATCACGAATATATGATTGTAAAAGTACAAAACGTTTGCAGCTCTACATAGAAAGATGGATTCCACAAGAGGAGCAAGCTCCTGCTTCAGATATCTGTGAATTTTCGAGTCGTTGACAGGCCATGCACCACACAAAACACACCCCAACATGTCATCGTGTCATGCACGGAGCCAGTCAATAGCATGCATTGAACAGCACCCTTAATTTCAATGATATTAAGCAATATAATGCCAATACTAACAACTGTTGGCCCGGTTTTCAGCATTCTGAAAAGTTGTCCTTAGACACATAACCACAAAATAAAGGAAGTCCGGCGAGGTAGCGTGGCGCAAACGGAGAGCGTCAGTAACTTAGCACATCACTTGAGACTTCAACAATCATGCAACACATGTTAACAATGAAGACTGCAGGGCGGACTATAATAAGAATTTCGCTCCATAACCGGCATAACATAGAGTTCAGACCCTATAAAGCTGACACTAGATGACCCGTTGCAGCTTCGCCCGCAAAAACAGAAAATTAAAAAGCACAAAAGAAAGAAAAAGCATAAGGAACTGCCCTATCATATGCCGCTTGTTTCACAAAAACAAAAAGCAGAGCCTGAGAGCATACAGAAACCGCGTGCAAGAAATAGGAGGGAATACCACCGAACTTTTTTGGTTTCTTATCTGTGAGTGTTTTGTTTGGGAAGCCGCTGCCTTTGCAGCATCGTTTTTCTTTGGTGCTGTGCAAGAACTGTGGACTTCTATGAGAAAATCCTGTCCGTAGTCCCGTTGACGTTTTCGCTAAAGATTCCGATTCACACTTTTGTTTTCTATGTTCTCTGTATGAATGATGAAACAATCAGCAGCATTCAATCTGCTTGGCAGTTGCTCTTCGGGTGGGGGACTTGTCGGGAGTAGCATTGCCATGAGAGCCATAATGCCTGGCGTGCATCTTGGAACATTTCCAGGAAGGCAAAAGGCAAAAAAGAAACGTAGCACGTGTCAGAGTC